GTCGTCGTCGTAGTGGTGGTAGCCCGGATAATAATACGAATAGCTCTGATTATCATCATGACCATATTAGTAGCAGTCGTAGTATAGACTGCCAAGCCGCAAGCTGCCAGAGCTGTGTTGGAGCAGTGCCTGTCTGGCAGAAGCCGCTCCACAGGCATGCGGGAAAGCCTGGGCGACAAGCCCAACATCTGCGTCGCGTCATAGCATATTATGGTATATCCGAGTACATTATCGGTTATAGTAGAATCGAAAAATATTATTGAATATTACAGTTATTACAGCCTATTACGGTATACCGAGGGTTGCTACAACATATTCGAGCACGAGGTGGCTTCTTTCTTGGGCCGCGGCTTCTGCAGCTTCTCCGGTTTGCGAGGCACAAAGTCTCCATGTAGCCATATAGTAGGAGCGTACACACTTATACCCTAAAATCCCCCGTATAGGAACCCCTTCAGGGCCTGAGTATATCCCATTTGGGTACATGGAGCCTTTGCGAAGGGGGCTGTGCTCAGGCTACGGTGGCACAAGCAACCGGTGGAGGACCTGGGGCTTGCCGGCAAGGTTAGAGTTTAGGGTTTAGGGTTTTAGGAGTTTAGGGGTTAGGGTTGAGGGGTTTAGGAGTTTAGGAGTTTAGGGTTTAGGGTTTAGGGATTACGGTTTAGGGCTCCATGATGTAGTTTGCTGCTGTTGCTTCACCACGAGGGCCATACAAAGAACAAGCCGAGAAACCAGAAATGAGGAACGGCGCGAGACAGTATGGATAAAACCCAATAATCCACCGTACACTCCAAAACCCGTAAATCCGCATGCCCCCAAATAAACCCTCCCGAACCCACAACCTCTAATAAACAGTGTAAACCCAAAAACCCATCCCTTCAACCCGAAACTCAAACCTCCACATCCCCTACTTCGGACGAAGGAGCAAAGTGAGCGAAGTCCGCCACAGCGCAACTTTGCCACTGGCTGCCATCCCCCCCTTCCATGTCTGCAAATCTGGCGAAACCTGGATGGTCTCTTGAAGGTTCGATGTCCAGGCACATGTGATGTAACACAGATGAGGCCTGCAGAATTTATAGGTTAAACCTTAGCAGGTCTTCAAAGCTCGAGGTCGCGGAGGCTTGGAACTTGCAGGTCTGCGGCGGGAAAAAACCATAGACCCTAAGCCCTAAACCCTAAACCCTATAAACCCTAAACCCTAAACCCTAAACCGAGGTACAACTCGATGTCAACTTGTCGTCGTGTATCCCCCACCGGTCCAAAAGGGGCGCAGGAAGTAGGTGCTTGGGTATTTCAAAGGGGAAAAGGAGGGACCCTTAATGGGGACCCCTACCCTAAAATGGGCTCTATAATGGGCTATATATATTGGGTATATCATAGCTATATTAAGGGTATATACCTAGGGGTCCTTATCAAGGGTCCCTCCTTTTACCCTTGGAGTATTGGATAGTAACGGATAGCAGTTGTGAAGGCTAGTCTTTGGGACAATTCATGATACTATGTCCTCGGAGCCTCGGTGGTATCAAGCCGCGGCAGATATGGAACATGTTTTCGACACTTCTTCCAGTGGAAGCACGAATTGACGGAACGAGAAAGGCAGAATACGATCGTGGGTTTAGCCTCACTCTGACTGGCACAGCCTGATCTGTGGGGAACTAGTTCATGGTTGGGATAGGATTAAACATGTACATGTTTATTCTTGGGTTTAAGTAACCATAAACATCTAAAATGCTGTCCAACTATGACAAACGGAAGCTGAGCAATAGGAAGCCAGAAGTGTCGAGCAGTACTCCTTAAACCACCACAAACACCTGGCAAACGAGTCACACCATGTCTTCGCATTGCTGTCAGCGCATTCAGGGCGAATGGCCAGGAACCAGGGTGCCCCTTTGCAAGCAGGAAACATCACCCAAAACGCCGGAAACCTTGAAGGAGCCTGCCTGCTTTACGTGATTTAGGGCATATCCAAAACCTACGCCCAGTGGCCTTGCCCAAAAAGGCTGACATCTGTGCCAGTGAGTGTCAAGTTACGTTATCGCAGCTAGCCGGCCGTCGAACGTGCTCTTATGATGCTGTTGGCGATGGTGCGTTGTTCATGGCAATGATCGTGGAGATGCTGTTGCTGCTGATGATGCTGATGCGGTGGTAAGTTCGCACTGTTGACCGTCGGATGCATCATTTGTACACATGCTGGGCCTACCATGCGCACATCCTGGCCACTGTCCCCAGCACAAGGTAAGGGCATACAAAATGGAAGAACATCTCTCTAAAACTTATATGCCACGGTCAAGTAGCACGGATTCCGAGGCCCTGAAACCATAGAGCTCGCACCGTGGAAACCCGCAGTACCGAAAAGCCAGCCAGCCCCAAAGAAACCCTGTAGCTCTAAGGAAGAAGCCACGGTGCAGAGGACGCTACAGCGCCGCTGAAGCTCAGTGTGTCCATCCGCAGGTAAAGCCGCTGGAGCGTTGTCAGGAGCCTCGGTGAACTGCTTCACGGGTGAATCTAGCTTAGGGTTTAGGGGTTTAGGTTTTGGGGTTTTTTGGGGTTTAGGAGCTAAGAGTTTAGATCCAGGTTGCTGTTGTTCCCAGACTTCTATCCTTTGTAGTCAGGGCAGATAGCCCATGCAAACCCCCAATACTATACTTTTGCATCCAAGCCCAAACCTGCTTTCCAGCTTGGCGATGCAATGCTTATCTCTAAGTTATTCACCCTTCATGATGCTGCATGCTCAAGCGCCACGTCGTACCTAAACCCTAAAAGCCCCAAATTGGCCGTAAGAGGTTGTCCCGGGCGTCTTTGAGGGTGGAGGTTCAGTAGAGTTTCGGATTTATCGGTTTGCGGGTTCGGGCTGAGGGTTGGACATCAAACATGTTAACCAAGATGATGCAGGTTGAATGCCAAACGCGCGCAACTCGAAACCTCTTCCAAGAGTGCAAATGCCGCTGCTGATGGTTCTCAAGTCTGCAACATGTGGGGGATGTTTCTGCTGGGGATCAGCCTCGCCTTGGGTGCTTGAGCCCAAAAGCCAGAACCCTTTGAGGACTGTTTTAACCAGCATCCCTGCGTGAATCCATGGTGCACAGAAGCCTACTGAAATTACTGAAATGTCCTTATACTGACCGGGCGAGAAAAGAAGGTACCCCACGCCTCCAAGATCCTGTTTGGACAGCCGAGAGACTGCAAGGGTTCCCTCCACCGCCAGCTCTTCTCGCAGGCTGCGATCGTGCTGTTGAAGCCTCTCACCAGCATGTCTCAGGGATGGCGTGGGGGAAAAGAAGTTGCCCTGAACCCCTCAAGGGAAACGAGCATTCATTGAGATCCTTAGTCTCGTTCTCATGGTTGAGATCCTCAGTCTTGTTCTCACACCTCATAAACCTCATGCTGACTGCTATGGCTGCTATGGTCACCAGGGCTACTGTCGCTACGTGCTAAAACAGAGCTACTGGTATGATGAGCAGGCCAATGCTTTAGCATCTTGGGGTCCGGTTATTTTGAGGGTTCAGGGGTTTAGGGTTTAGGGGAGGCATGCAAAAGACTAGATGAAACCCATAGAGGCCCAAAGTTGCTGCCATGAAAGCTGGAGTGCCTTCTTGCTTGTGTTGAGACGTAGTTTGTATGGTTCACATGCTCGCAGCAGAAACGTGTCTTCATGATCAGTTTTAACTGCACTGACTCGAAAAGCCGGAGCCCTAAACCCAGAGCTCGGCCTGCACTGACTTTGACTACTTCACCGGCGCTTAAGAGCTCATCTCGCTCGATCAAATCAAGCAATCTGTGCCAGTCTAATTGAAAACAGGCGTTTCGCAGTCATAAGCCAGAAACCCTAAACTCCAAACCCAAAGCCATAGAATCCTAAAGGCTGTGAAGAGACCAGAAAGATGAATGACCGATGTTCTGTTTCCCACTGCACTCTGCCAGGTTCAACTCATCAAAAAACAAACAGGCTCTCTTGAACCAAGCGGCTGATAGTGTTGAGCACAACTCCCTCCATCTGCATCAAGTCCAGTAGCTGCAGGCACTGGACCCACCTCGGCCGATTTGCGAGCGAAGGGCGGCCGATGGACCGCAGAAGAGACGAAATACGCAACAGCGAAGTCGCTGCACAGAATCACCCTAGGGCTCCAGTGACCTAAATAGTAGGTTAGTAACCATGTACTATATACCCCAGTAACCTACTATACAAGTAATCAACTGGAGCCCAAGGTTCAAGGAAGGATGATTGGGCGTTGGGCTGCTTCAAAACGTCCCTTCCAAAAGCTCCAGAAACCGAAACTGGCCTTTACCCTACGGGATGATGAGCCCTCACGCTTAAAAGGGTACGCACTGCAATGGAGAATTGATGCTGCCACTGTTATTGGTGTTGCTCTTTATTTGAGGGCGCTGCCTTCCCTCTTGCTCAACTTTAGCCGTGCCACAAACTGTCGCCGGCACAAACACTGAGGGTGCTGGTGCAGCTGACTGTGTTCCGACGGACCTGAATCAGGACTTGAAGACATGCTCCTTCTTCCCAGATATAGCTTCGAAGGACAGATACGCATTATCTTAAATTTGAGTTGGTCGCAGTCCTGGGGTTCATGGCTCAGCATCTCTGAGCATCTGCAGCTTTGCTATAAAAGCCAGAACACCTACCAGTCTGCACAGCAAAACATCTGCCCTTGTTTATTCCGAGCTGCTGTGGCCCGCTGCATTGCCGTCAGCAGTTCGAATCCGACGGGCCATTGGCCACAGCTTTCGCAAGCACTTATGGTGCTGCTGTAGCTGAAGACATCTGGGCACATCCTTCCAGGTCCGATCGATCACAACAGTATACATGCAGGACTTAATATACTATCAACGAAGCAGCAGACTACCAGTATACATTGTTTCAATAGACAGTAGTAGTGTAGAGCACATGCTGTCGAACATCGAAGCTACAGCGTGCAAGGCTTAAGGAACTTGAACGACAAGCCTCCCTGTATCTGTAATTTAATATAAAATGTGTGTGTGTGTATGTATCTATC